TTGGGAATTTTTAAATTATTCTTTTATTTTGCTTTTCTTTTTTTTTCTTTCTTTGTAAGCCGCCCGGAGTCCTCCGGGATTGGCCGGCCTATAAATTTAACAAATAAATAAATAAATAAGTGAATCATGCTCAATTTTACAACTATTTTGCTAAGGTTGTCAAGTGAATTACTTCAGTTGTTTTGACCCTGAGCACTGCAGCGATCACATTTGCTCAATTTTGATCCCATGACCATGGAGGTAAAAACATGTATAATTGTTTCTTTTATTTTTCCTTAAATCCATTTTGTAATTATTATAATCATTCTGAAACATTATACCTCTAGTATTTCACCTGAACTCTTCTTCCAAGCTCTGAAGTAAATCTCAGCGACATGGTTCATCAAGGACCTGGATCAGTAAAATAAAAGTCATAGTACAGTGAACTTTAAAGACACTTATTTAGATTCAGAAGGCATCCAGGTCTTTTCCAATTTCTCCCCTAAGTTAAAATTCTAGTTCAGTACTTTTGAAATCTGGTAGAAAATATAAAACAGTTTGGCTTAAGCCTCAGTTTTTTATTATATTCCCTATGGCCGTTAAAACTAAAAATGCTATAAGTTCAAGTCTGTTCAACATCTCACTCTGTATCTTCTAATAACACATTTAATAGCACTAGATTAATATTTTCTAGTATTTGTGAACACATGCTTCCAAAATTTTAGCTCTTCTTCCTACTCACAGTTGAGGTAAACCAGTGGTGGGTTCCGGATCCCGTTGCAACCGGTATGGTGCAATGGGGACAGGCGGCCACCACATGAACATGCTCAGCACACGCATGCGTACTTACCACCCACAAAATTCTGTGACACTCCAGCTGCTCGGCGGAGCATCGCCCAGGCGCCATATGCTCCGTGTGCATGGGCAGAAGCCCTGAACAGCTCAAATACAGGTAAGGAGCGCGGGCGAGCCCTCTGGAGCACCGTACCAGAACGGTACCTGGTTGCTCCCAGCAGGCATCAGTACACCCGTTCGGGGACACACCGGTCTTATCCCACCACTGAGATAAACCCTGGAAATATCCCACAAGGCTCCTAAAGAAAGAGCTACGTGTAAAGAAGCATTTGTTACCTTCATACCTTCGCCATTTTAAGCACCCAAACACGTAAAGCGAATCTCTGTGGAGATAGAATACTAAGCATTTTTCTGCAAGTATTTTAGTGGAGGTTCGTTCTCAGAGCGTGTGGGTTGGTTTCCCAACATCTTGTCACCCAGCTAGGTCACATCTTCAGCAGTTTAGGGCAGTGGTTCCCAAACTTGGCAACTTTAAGACTTGTGGACTTCAACTCCCAGAATTCTCTAGCCAGCTCTGCTGGGGGTTGAAGTCCACAAGTCTTAAAATTGCCAAGTTTGGGAACTACTGGTTTAGGGGATGTCAGTTTTCTTGTTTTTAAGGTGTGGGTGTGTCAAGTGATGGGTGAGCTGTGAGTCTTCAGTGAGTCTTGTGATAAGGACATCATGTCATTGGGAGATGAACTGTTAGTGGGGGGGGGGAGGTCTTGTGTGGGTTGGTTGAGGGTCAGAGCTGCCTCTGGTTGAGTGTGGTTGATTTGGATTCTGAAAGGTTCGTAGGCTGGTTGTAGGTCAATGTGTCTATTAATGTGGGTCAACAATGTCTGTTGATGGAATCGCTTGTGGAGTGCCAGGCTTTGATGACCTCACAAACGTGGTGGATGGTGCCATGGCCGATTATTTTTGTGTTGCTCCAATCGAAGACCCTCACTTGACACAACCAGAAGAACACTGACACTGACATCCCCTAAACTCTGCTGAAGATGTTACCTAGCCTGGTAACAAAACATTCGGAAACCAATCCATAAGCTCAGAGAAAGAACCTTCACCCTCTCCCTACACTTGAGCCACAGATATTTGCCACTACTGCAAAGTTATTAGTGTTTCAAATTGGTAAGCAAAGACGGGCATTATACAGATTGCAGGACTTGCCTACAGCTGACACACCAGAATTTGGGAAACCCCAACTCACTTTATTGGTATATGAGAAACTTACCTAGGAAAACATAGGAGTTGATTTTTAATAGTCCCATGTATCAGCTTAATGAAATCTACATTCCATGTAAAAAGAAAGCTCAAGAATCTTCTTCCCTGAAAAAGTAGCCAGACAACATCACTTAAGTAGATATGAACTCTTTTAAACTCAGCACAGGTAGTCCTCGACTTACAACCATTTGTTTAAGTGACCAAAGTTACAACTGAAAAAAGTAACCTATGACCATTTTTCAGACTTACGACTACTGCAGCATCCCCATGGTCATGTGATCAAAATTCGGGTGTTGGCAACTGTTATGCATTTATGACAATTGCACTGTCCAGGGGCCATGTGATCACTATTTTTAACCTTTCCAGCTGACTTCCAACAAGCAAAGTCAACGGAAAAGCCAAATTCAACTAATATCCACATGATTCACTTAACAACTGCAGTAATTCATTAAACAACTGTGTCGCCAAAAAATTATAAAATGAGGCACAACTCTTATCAATTGCCTTGCTTAGCAACATAAATTTTGGGCTCAGTTGTGGTCATAGGTCAAGGACTATTTCCTACACTGTAGTGCTCATACTGCTTCTGTTTACCTAAGGCTAGAATCCTACATATTAAGGAAGGGGACATATGGACCATTGTCATTGGACTTCATTCTTCAGTGAATATTATTAATACAAGGATCCTTAATTTACAACCAGTTGTTTGACAACTATTTGAATTTATGATGGATCATATCTCAAGACCTAAAATGGACACCTAACATCAAAAACGTCATCAAAAAAGCACAACAAATAATGTTTTGCACCAGCTCAGGAAGCTCAAACTGCCCAAGCTGATTCAGTTCTACAGAAGAATCATTGAGACTGTCATCTGCACCTCCATAACTGTCTGGTTTGGTTCTGCGACCCAGCAAGACAGACACAGACTTCAGAGGATAATCAGAACTGCGGAAAAAACAATTGTGACCAACCTGCTTTCCATTGAGGACCTGTACACTGCACGAATCAAAAAGAAGGCTGTGAAAATATTTAGATCCCTCGCATTCTATTCTATTCTATTCTATTCCATTCCATTCTACTCTATTCCTCCCAGGCTACTTATGAACCGGGTTTGAAGTTCCAATGGCTGGACTTTCATAAATAAATACCAAATTTGTGGATACACCCACATATATTATATGACATGGAGAAATAACACAGTCTAATTTGGATGCATACATGTACATGGTGAGAAAAACGAATCTTGCAAGCTTAGCTGGGACAAAGCTGTTACAGAATCTGATAGTCCTGCTAGAAATACTTTGAAATCTCTTCCCAGAGGGGAGCAACAGAAACAGACCATGAAGTAGGTGCGTGGGGTCTCTAACAATGCTTTGAGCTCTAAACACATAGCATTTATAAGCAGTATCCTGAATGAGCTTCCTATAATCTTCTCAGCTGTCCTTACCACTCTCTGTATGGACTTTCTCTCTGAGGCATTGCAGCCACCAAACCAATGAGGAATGCAGTTTGTTAGAAGGCTCTCTATAGTGCCTCTGTAAAAAATGGCCAAGATAGAAGGAGAAACACGTGTTCTTCTCATCCGATGCAGGAAATGCACACGCTGGGTTGTCTGTGGTCATATGATTGCTTTTTGGGTGCTTTGGAACCAGACCGCAATTATGGACGTTTACAGCATCCTGCAGTCACATGACCATAATCTTATAACATTTTTTGGCTGGAGACCAGTGTTTACTTCCAGTTTCAAGCAAAAAATATCCATTGTAAATTATAGGTTCACTTAACAACCTTAGCGTTCACTTAAAACATTTGTTTTAAAACTGCCAAGAATAGGTTGTAAAATTAAGCATAGCCATGTGATGACCCGTTTAACAATCAGCACAACTTATAACCATAATTCTGGGCCCAGTAATGGTCATAACCAAGGACTACCTATAGGATTACATTGTACAACATGCTGTAGAAAACTTTTAAATATGCTCACAATGAAGTGCATAATTAAAGAAGTTTCTAAAGAACATTAAGCAAATAAAAAAGTAAGCACCTAAAAAGTTACCATATTTTTCGGAATATAAGATGCACCGGAGTATAAGACGCACCAAGATTTTGAAAAGGTAAATTTTGAAAAGTTTTTGCACTCTGCAGACCTCTCAAAAATGGCCCATTTTTCGCAAACACGGGTCCTTCCCCCCCCCCAAAGGGCATGAATATCCTTTAGAAGGTTTGTAGAGTGCTCCTGGGGGATGGGGTGGGCAAAATTGAGCAAAAAACGGCTTGTTTTCCACTCATTTCTGCCCTCCTCAGCCCCCCTGAACACACTAAAAGCCACCTAAAGGCTATGCATGGCCATTTTGGTGAAGGGTGGGGAAGTTTGTGGGAGGCAAAAAATGCTGTATTTAGTGTATAAGATGCATCCATATTTTCAGCTTCTTTTTGAGGGAAAAAGGTGTGTCTTATACTCCGAAAAATACGGTAACTTTCTCTTCTTTTTTCAAGAAGGCAGGGAACCCTATCTTGCATTATTCTGATTTTTGATAACATATTTAAACTATATTAAATCTCACACCTTCTTTAAAGTTTATTTTTCAGATATATCTGCATTGCAGGTACTTAATTTATTTAATACATTTATAAGGCCACCCATTTTGATTACATAACTCTTAGTGGCCAACAATTAACAGCAAAATAAAAACAATAAAAATGCAGCCAATAATTAAAAATATAAATAACACAACACAGCATAAAATATCAGCCAATTTTACCCAACGAGTACACCGTTTTGGTGCACACATAAGAAGTTCATGCGCATTTAAAAAAAAAAACAGATTCGTACCTCTTCTTTTTTAATGTAGCCTTGGCTCATAAAGCACCGAAGTAACAAATCTTTAATTTCATTACTCTCGTCTGAGTCATAATCAAAACACAGTAGAACCCGGTGAAGGCAACATAGGCTGGTCAAAACTTCCCCCTAAAGGAGATGAGTAAGATTATTTCATGTCACTGATGAGGCAAGAGACGTAAATCTGCAGAAAGTACAAGGAGGAGGAATGCCAAGTGTTGTGATCACCAGTGATACTCACAATACTCACGCATAAGCTCTGGTTTGGGAGCTGACCCCGTGGAAAGTTCCCATGAGTTGACACTGAACAGCTTCTTGCTAGCATTGCAAATTTTGGAGCCTGGATGCTTTGTTACACTACCCTGGCATATAATTATTCAACCCAAGAGAGATACCGTTTATTACCTACGCATCCATTCCTGCCAATGTTTCTAAAAGCATTTGACTTCCCTCAGATTTATCCAGAGGAAAGAAAATTAATCCTCTGCAAATGATTTGCGGTATACATTAAAATACAAAAGTGGCACTCAAGAGATCTATCTCAAACATATACATATAAATTTAGACACTGAACATATATTGCTTACCGGAACAATTTTATTCCCCAGACTCTTCCTCAGAAGCACCAAAAAAGCAGTTTTCCCAAATTGTTCTTTTTCTTCTAATCCCTTCCCCCACCAGCATTCTGAAAGGCGCTGAATGGCTTCCAACAGAGATTTTTCAGAATCCGGTAGTACCGAAAGAATCCCTGTAACAGAGTTAGAATGTAATCTTCATATGCCTCTAAAGTTTTCCCCTGGCTCTTAGAAATCAAGTCTCTTTATGATAGTCAAAGACCAGTTCATGATGAATCTCTACAGGTGAAACTCGAAAAATTAGAATATCATGCAAAAGTTCATTTATTTCAGTAATGCAACTTAAAAGGT